CACCAATTCCATGGCCCACCATGGCCCAGCACCCAGATAAGCACCGTGTCTCCAGTCTTCCCTATGGGAAGAACCTGGGAAGCTCCTGTCTTTGTCAACACCATTGTAAGCACAGGGCTACGTGTGCTCAGAAGCATCTTCGTGCCATTACTGATAGGATTCAGCTGTGCCATTTGTGCATTTATTGTAGGGGCATCATCTTGCAATGTGCTGGTGTAGTTCACTTGGTTTCTTTAACACCTCGTTACTCTGCAATGAGGCCTAAAAGACCACCTCCAAAAGCCATCCTGATATGCAGATGTATTTCATTCTCCACTAACTGAATTTAAAACACCACATCTCCAACTCCTACAAAGGAGGGCAGCTACCCTCTGGGGAGCTGCTGATTTACACCACAGCAGCTGAGCTGGAAATGTACGAACCTCTGTGAGATTCTTTGTTGGAGATGTAAAACATGATTAATAATGGTGTTTTTAACAAGAAAAAAAAAGGAAGATGTTTGAAAACACAGATAGTTCCACCCTTCCCACCCACCCCTTCCATAGTGCGCACCAGTTCTGTGCCTGCTGTAGCAGCATGGCATTCCCAGGATAGCTCAGGATGGCACAGGAGGTACCAAACACCAACTGATACAGGCAGATTTTCCTAGGGAATGTGTCCCTCTGTATGAGCTTGCATCAGAATTGGAGAAGACTTTGTGTCTCAGCCTTCAAGTGGCTGAGCAGAAGGCGGTGCTGGGGGAGAATTGCATGCTGTGACAGAGGGCTGAGGCTGTGACGAGCTGAAGCTGAGCAGCAGAAGGCTTTGGTTGTATCAGCTTCTTCTAGGTGACATTGTTTGCTTTCCCCGGGTGAATGTTTTAAAAGGCATCTGTTGAAATATGCTGCAAAATTCGCACAACATATGTGCAGGCTCATATGCAAATATGTAGCACATCCTTTTTGCCACTTGAGCTTTGTTTAAAACTTTGCCATAAATTCACTTTTTTTGTTGTTTTGTTTTGGGTTTTCTTCCTCCTGGTTATCATTTGCTCCTCTCCTTGTTGTCAGAAGGCTCTGCGCCTTGTGTAAACACACTTAGAGACAGAAACTGCTGCTAAAGAACAAGCTGATTTGCAGGGACTTCAGGTCTGCTTTCCACAACACAAGCTTCCAGCTTTAAAAACCCTGAGTCTGCTTCTCAGCCCTGAGTGCTGGAAGTGGAACAAGGCTCTCACTCAACAGAGAGTGCTTTTCCCTCCTTTGTAGATCATAAAGCCATTGGGTGTGTGCATAACAGAGAGGAATGAACCCATAATTGCAGAGGGAGGTTCTGCAGCCCCTAAATCCTCACAGGTGGATGCATGCTCAGCAAAGGGGAAGTGCTGCAGGGCTGAGCCCTCTCCTGCTGAATTAGTCAGAGAGATGCTTTCAGAATCTTAAGATGTTGCATTGGTTGTAAAGAGGTATTATTGATATTCAATGCTATAGCAAGGAGAATTTGGAAACCAGAAGAAAAGAACTGCTGGGTGATGTTCCCATCTCTGTAGTGTGTGCTATGCACTGGGATAGCTTAATTTCCTCCGTGCTTCTCTGCAGATAGCTTTGCAAATTGTGCTCAGAAAGCATGGTGTGTCAGAGGGGCACAAACTGGCACGTGGCTGCAGGATGGAGGTGAGGCAAACATGATCAAATACTGACTTTCAAAGGCAATTCCAGTAAGCATAGGACATCCTCTGTTTTCCAGTGAACATTTGCCATTGCCCAGAATGTTGAATTGAACTGGAATGAGTGGCAGCGCTGGGGAACGGAGCAACCTCAGCTGCCATGCAGGAAATGGAGGGATCTTTTTATTTATATCTTGTTAATTAATTAGGTCTAGCACCTTCCGTAGAAGCCTGTGAACACCACAAAGGAAAAAGGGAGACCCGGGAAAGGTGTGATTCAAATTTGGTGTAGAAGCAAAGAGTTCCTGCTGAATTAGTCTCAGAATTTAAATTGCAGAAGAGGTTTCTCCTTCCCAGCACCTCTCAGTTCTCCAGCGTTGCCCTCAGACTACATTACACACAAGACAGCTGAAGCCATCTTGGTCATTTCAGGTATCCCTTATTTTGCTGAACAGTAGGGAGTGAATTTCAAGGTGACTTCTCGTTTGCCAAAATACTGATGGTCTGTTCCTGAATGGCTGGATGGAAAAAGCAATATGAAGATGCAGTGATTCTGCAGAAGCCCATTGGATAAACGTCTGGCAGTTTATTTCACACTCTCCGTGCAAGTAGTCAGTTCATGCTCCTTCAGCACTGAACACGGCTGCATGCATATAACTGGGCTTATTTCAGCTCATCCAAACCTCCATGCAGAATGAAGATTAGATACAGGTTCTAGCTGAGAAATTTGCAAAGAGATGTTACCCCAGGGTCCTTGCCCTACAAGCACAAATAGGAGTGGGCATATTGTTTCAATGCTGATAGAGTCTCTGTTTACTGGATAATATCTAATCAATTGTTTCCACCTCTCTGATGATGTGATGCACTTACTAATCCTGCAGTCAGTCTATTAGACATGGGTTGAAGTCATCAGCAGGAAAATAACGCTCTCAGAGAAATGATACATTAGCTATATACTCACTTGGGGTTATGTTCCTTTTGCCAAGCAATAACAGTTCCAGGAGTGTAGAGACATACGTAACCAATAGGGAGGAAGCTTTTATTAACCAAGATGGTTATTGCATTTTAAAGAGGAAATTTTCACCTTTGCTAAATTCTGCCGGAAAGTGCCTCATATTTTCTCAGAGCGAGGATCAAAATGATGCTCTGGCAGAGAACTGGGCTTTTCCTTTTCGTTCAGGTGCCTGTCACTGGCTGCCGGCTGTCGAGCCCAGAAGAGAGCATGCATGTGTTTGATAAGTGCCACAGCAGAGACATCTCCTTAACCCTCATCTTTTGGTGCTCCCCGCACAGGATGTGGTGCCCCATGCTGGGTCAGGGGGGAAAAAGTTGCTCCTTTACTTGCTGTCAAACCTCACAGATAGATATTGAGGAAGAAGACACTGATATGATGCTCTACAGGAGGCTTCCTCATGTGGAAGAGTGCACGGTGTCAGTGACAAGAGGGGCAGGAAGGAATGACTTGGGGTTTGTTTGACATGGTGGTTGTTATTCAAGTGCCTGATAGTTCTTCCAACTCTGTGTACATCGCAGATGCTCTGGCATCGCCCACATGGTTCAGTGCCTCTGGACTGAGCCTTGTGGGAGCTGCACAGGAGCACTCTGAGGAAGCTGGCTTTAGGAAGCCCTGAGCAGCCTTCTTCAGGAAGATGGGACTGTCGGCCTCACCTTGGCTGAGAAGCATGCAAAGGATAGGGGATAGAAGTTCTAAAATATCTATCAGGAGTCTCAGTGGGAGGAAGGTTGTGGAAGCAGCTCTGCTTCCCCACACACATGGGAACTGCAACACCATCCTTAGGCAACAGGGAACACCAAGGAAGTTTGCAAAATGTGGGTGCTCTCAGAAGATATCCTGTTCTCCAGTGCAAACAGGACTCCATGCAAAACCCACACACTGAAACCGCTGAATTTCAGAATCAAGTCTAGAAAATATCTGCTGAAATATCTGCACTCGGGTAGTTCTCATTTAATTTTTCTCTGGGAGATGAGAGAAGCTGGAAAATGTTGTGCAAGGCTAGCACACTTGCTCCAGTTTTGGGCAGAAGCTGTGACTTAGCTCACAGCAGCCCATAGACCAGGGGGGGTCTATGAGAGTATAAAGGCACATGAATAAGTGCTGAGCTTATATTGCATTGCTCTTCATGAGTACCCTTTGGAGGACTGCATGACAGGGAAAGGTGAACCTAGGCATTCTGCTGCTCCTCAGCTACATCGGAACATTTTGCCCTCTCATTTCCCTGTCAGATCATATCACAAGTGGCCAGCTCCTTGGCCTACTGACCCAGCTAATGCATTCCAACATTGATTCAAGCCCCCACAGAGCCCCTTTCCATGACCTTGTAGCCTGTTATAGCTTTGCTCCCAACAATTGCAGTCCTTGCTATTTTCAATACTCTTATCCCTATGTTAATACTTGAACACCAGGAGTCAAAAATGCTGTAATTCAGCAGGCCTCTGTCCCTCAGCTGAACTGATGAAAGACCATTTTCCATCCAGCTTGTGGCAAAAGGATGTGATTTCAGTTACACGGCAAACTCTGCAGATTGCTTGGACTTGATTTCTAACATCCCAGCTCAGTGCTAATCTTTACTGACAGCACCCTCAGCATTAGCATCCCAGCAGAGGGAGTTTTAAGCTGACCAGGGGCTCCTTTAGTGACCAGCAAAGTGAAGACAAGCAGAGGGCAGTATCCTCCAGCCCTGCTTCTGTGCTTCAGGAACCCCTCCAAGCCTTGCCTCATCTTCTGACTACAGCCAGATGCAAACTGCACAGCTGCACTTCATGCTTCACCACAAACAGGGGATGTATGGCCACCCCCAGCGCCCACTAGAACACTGGGGCCATGGACTGGGTTTTGCATGGAGCTTCCGGGTTTGGAGCAGTGACCCGAATTCTGGCATGATGAAAGAGCAATCTGATTATTAAAATGAACTCACAGACACTTTTCAATGGCTATGGCGAATGGAAAAGTGTGGCTTGCAAGGCAAAGGTAGGTGATGGTGCATGAGCTTGTGCGGGATGCAGTAGGGTCAGTTCACCACATCATGATGGAGACCTCCATGGTAAGTGAGCTGACTCATTCCACCAGAACCATGAAATGAAGGCTCGTCTGTCTGGAGGCTTCCTAGGCACCAGTTTGCCTCTCTCCATGATCACTGGGGACAAGGAAGCAAAGCCACATCCATTTTATATCGACCCGTTGGAGCCACTTCAAATCCTGTCCAGGAATTGTCGCTGAGGCTGGCTCAGTTACAGCACTTCTCCCTGTCCAGAGCTGCGGGAACAGCTCACCCCTCTCAGCTGGTTTTCATGCATGCTCTGGACATGTCTTATTTTTCTTTTTTCTTTTTTGCAGACACGCCACGGATGAACAACATCCTTACTTCTGCCACCGAACCTTACGATCTGTCCTTCTCCCGGTCCTTCCAGAACCTCTCTCACCTCCCACCATCCTACGAGTCTGCCGTCAAGACAAACCCAAGTAAATATTCTTCTCTGAAGAGACTAAGTAGGTGTCAGCTCATTCCATTTCCTTTGTATCTCATTTGCTTGTAAGCCGCAGCGGGCACAACGTTAAGGCAATAATCTTCTTCCCTCTGTTGTTGTACTGCCCAAGTTGGCATCTCCAGTAATGATTCTCCTGGATGTCGCTTCCCATCAAGGAAGAGCAGAGAGAAAGAGTCACTTCATTACTGTGAGAGCACATGTGGTTATTTGCTTACTGACCTCCATCCTGTGCTGCCTCCCCCAGCTCCGCCTCTCTCTGCTCCTGATAGAGTCATCTGAGAATCCTTTTTTGCTTTCTGGCTGTTCACATCAGCCGAGCTCAGCCCGATGCACCCAGAGCAGATATCTCACCATCTGCAGGAGCAGCTGGAACCAGATGACAAACCCAGGCTGATAAAAAGGTGCTGAATTGGCTGGGAACCTCCATTTCAGTAGGAGCACATCTGCCTGTCCCCAGCAGTGCTGCAGTCCACCATGTTTCATGGTCCTGAACAGCACCTTACCCTGGTCTTTGGTGCATTGCTGATGTCTTTATGTGTTGCTCTCTGACCTGTTCATGCCAGTTAGTATCTATTCTTTCTTGCTGTTTTACATATTGCATTGTTCTGTCAACTTTTCTGCAATGCTCCAACTCACTGCTGCTCCTGATGGTGAATATTCACATGGAAATATCTTCAGCTTCAATGAGATTTAGAAATAAGTGATATCTGTGATGAAAAGTGCTCTCTCTAGACTGAGATGTCAAGTCTATAGTGTGTTAACATGGGCATTTTCTGGGTGCAGCCAGGTATACATGCTGCCTCAGTTGGAAAAATAACTTCAGTGTCTATATTTGCAATAGCTTCACTGAAAGCAGATCGGGACAAAGAGCAGATGCTACATCCTTGCTCTGTCTAAAAGCTGCATTCCCAAGTTAGCCTGCTAAGAGAGACGTACAAAACGAAGTGGCAGAGGAGCCCTTGGACTGTCCATAGCACATCCTCATGCAGAGGATTTTCCAGAAGAGAAAATGCAACAGAAATGTAGCACATAAAAATCTCTGCCCACTCCTTGGCACTTCACTGTGGAATTTAAATCTGTGTTTAACATTTAGGCAAGTATATTTGACATGCTGAAAAGTAAGCATGTGCTTAACCATGTTGCAGAGCAGAGATAAGGTATTTAGGGACTGGATACTGCCATGTATGTGACTTTTGCCTCCTGATAACATTTGGAGTCACTGTCCTAACCAGAAGCATTTCCCTTTCCCTGCATCCCTGTGATTAGCTGTCCATGTTCTTGAGTAGCTTTGATGATGTTGTTCAATACTGGGAAACCCTTGAAATCATGACACTGAAACATAACTGCTTTAAAATGTCCTCATTTCAAGGTGATGATTTATTTTCATTTTTCAGATGAAATAGTGTAAAAATGGATCAACTGGATAGCCCCCAGATTGCTCTTTCATTTCTAATTGATTTCCAATGCTCAGGATTACCTGGGATAAGTACTTCCAGCTCAGAGGCTGGGGGATGTCTGTCTTGACATTATTGGGAACACGTTAGGGAAGCATCCACCAGGAATTGCACCAAGGACTCTTACTGTGGCTCTTACTGTGTGAAGGAGATGGTCCAGACCTCTTCCAGCCTGAGATTCATCTATTGTTTTATACATTGTGCATAGATGCTCACTGAAAATGCCTTGAGCTTCCTGCTAAGGATATTGATGTATCTCACTGGAACATTAAAAAACAACAAACGAATGCTAACTGAACCTCCCACATCTTCCACAGCCAACATCTGGAAATGTACATCAGATCTGAACTCTTCTGTATCTACTCCTGTTATGCTTACCCAGCTCACACTGAATATAAACTCTCTGACCAAGCAACTCCATCCATGCACTGGTCATTACCTTACCAGGTGTCTGATCCATGGGGTCTCAAAAAACTTGTTTTGCAGCCGAAGAAAAGACATCTCCTTACGTGTCCAACGTGCCCCTCAGCAGGTCACAGGAGGGAGTATGGTTGCCTTCCTGCATTGTTTCCTAGATATTTGTTTAAAGAGGCAAAAATAGATTTGTGTTAAGGGGTCAAGCTCAAATGCCTCAAGAACGTGCTGAGCAGAGTCAACCTTCCTCTTCATAGAATCATAGAATGACTTGGGTTGGAAGAGACTTCAGGGATCGTTAAGTTCCAGCCCCCATTTCCTCCCCCCAGGCAGGATTGCCAACTGCTATCTCATGTACTACATTACATTGCCCAGGGCCCCATCCGGCCTGGCCTTGAACACCTCCAGGGATGGGGCATCCACAGCCTCTCTGGGCAGGCTGTTCCAGCATCTCATCACTCTCTCTGTTAAAAACTTCCCCTGATGTCTAATCTAAATCCCCCTTCCTTTAGTTTAAAACCATTCCTCCTTGCCCTATCACTATCTACCCCAGTAAAATGTTGATTTCCCTCATGTTTCTAAACTCTCTTTAAATAATGGAAGGCCCAATGATGTCTCCCCACAGCCTGCTCTTCTCCAGACTGAACAAGCCCAGTTCCTTCAGCCAATCTTCATAGAAGAGGTGCTCCAGCCCTCTGAGCATCTCTGTGGTCCTCCTCTGGACCCTCTCCAAAAGCTCAGCATCTTTTCTGTGTTGAGGTCCCCAGAGTTGGATGCAGTACTCCAGATGGGGCCTCATAAGGGCAGAACAGAAAGGGGCAATCCCCTCCCTTGCCCTGCTGGCCGCCCTCTTCTGCTGGAACCCAGGATACTGTTGACCTTCCAGGCTCCAAGCGCACACTGCTGGCTCTTGTTAAGTTCTCTGTCAACCAGGACTTCTAAGTTCTCCTCAGCAGTTCCTCTGGCCTCCTTTTCATCCGGGCATCTTCTTAATCAGTAACAAAGGGCAGCCATCTCTGTCATATCAAGGTGCCAGTCTCTCACTGACCCCCGAATTGCTTTGGCAAACTGTCAAACCCATTGCTGGATAACAAGCCACCTTTGATGCTGGGCTTGTGCATGGGAAGAGCAGCAGTGTGTGGAGTGTGGGAACATGCAGCTGAGCAAAAGCATCTGTGTTAATTCTGCCCTGCCCAGCACCCCAGGGAACTGCTGTCCCAGCTGAGTGAGAAAGGTCAGTCAGAAAGGAAGCTAATATTTTCAGGCATATTAAACCACTTGGTATTGGATCATCACAAATGACTTGGCAGCTTGAAAATGTTAAAGAGGAAAGACAAGGCCAACGAGGGAATACACTGGAACTGCTGAGAAAGAAAAGCAAATAAATTGCTCTGATGACCTTACATACAGATGAACGTGCATATGTTTTAATCATACTAACCACAGGGAGAAAAATCATCCTTGTCTTTTCCACTCTCTTTTCTCAGAAACCCACCCATGTACCTCATTTCTCTAATCACACATTGGAGGAGCTGTGCTCTGCCTTCCTGCAGTGGCTTTGTCTCACTCATCTTAGGCAGGCTGAGGTGAGATGCGAGGAAATACTCATTTGGGCTTTCCCTGCAAATGAGAGAAACAAAAATCTCCGGTGCAGGTCAGCTTGTCCTAAAGCAATCAGCAGTCTGGATGTTCGGGGAGACAAGTCCTGGCAATGTCCCAGGAACTAACGTGAGGGGAAAAAATGGGAAGAAAAGAAAAAGAGATTATGAAAAGAAATTATGAAAAGAAAAAGAAATTAGAAAAGTGTGACTTCCCTTAATTCCACCTCTAAGCATTTGAAAAACATGAGCAAAGCCCCATAAATATGAGGGTGGCTTTTTTTTTTAAAAGAGAAATCTCCATTAATCAATAGACCAGTGATATCCTCCTATCTGCTCATCATTTCTGGCCCTTAGAAATCCACTTAGGACAGCTTTTTGAATTTTATACATAAAATCTATAAGAGAGAAACATTTATTTTGGCTAAATTAAAAAATGCCAGTTATCGCGTGAGCATCAATAAAACAATAAGGAGTAGCAGTATCAGTGTCTCGTCATCCCTGTGAACTTGCTGATGCAGTGAGGATGGGATGAAACAGACTGGAAGGTTTCAGGTCCTGGGCACGTGGATATGCCCAGGGAGGTGGTGGGCGACCCATCCCTGGAGACATTCAAGGTTAGGATGGACAGGGCTCTGAGATCTGATCAAGCTGTAACTGTCCCTGCTCACTGCAGGGAGTTGAACCAGGTGGCCTTGAAGGGTCCTTTCCAACTCAAACCATTCTATGACTTTGGTTTTAGCAAACTAAGGTGACCAGACATCAGCAGTTCCTGCACCACCAGCGCTTGGTGATGCACTTGAAGCCTCGAAGCTCTGAAGCCTGAAGCCATGTATGTTTCACTGTTCTTCTCTGGTATGGAAATGCTGCTGTAGAGCTTCCCCTTCACACACAAAGGCACTGCTGTGATACTTGGCCTCTCGTGGAGCCATGTCCTCCATTGCTGCTCCAGTAACAATCAACTGACATCACCTTCCAGAGTCAGCAGCCTGCAGCCTAATTAAACCAGCACACTGTTGACATTTTACAGTTTTGATTCCTTTAAGATAGGAAGTTTGTCCACACCTGAAAATATTCCTGGAATAGCTGTGCCAACATCTACCTGTGTCTCTCAGCAGCAGAGGAGGAGACAGACAACGTGAGATTAGGAACACCTTTAAAGTGCAATCAGGACCTGAATGGGTTAGCAGCCGCCAGCGGAAGGCCATGCAGACTTCCATCTCTTAAAAGAGTGCAGAAGGGATATTTTTAATGAAAGGATATTTGTAATGTTTCTAATTAGTAAAACTTTTTGGAGTGTAGGCCGTGCTGCATTGTTCACCTAAATTAGCAAGGAGCAACTTTGAACCACTTTTAATCAGCTGATTCTTCTGCCTCAGTAGGAGGCTCAAACCACTGCAAACCTCACTTAAGCTGGTTTAGCTCCTCTGGCAATTACCATGGCCAGGTGTGAGCATCCAAGCACATCTCCATTTGGGATGTTCTCTGCTTTAATTACATCTATTTAGAGTCACTTGGGCAAATCCAGCAGCAATTCTCTCATCCAGAGAGCAGAGGCCAAGTGCCAGAGTGCTAATTGCTCAGCTCCTATTCCGCAACCAGCCTCACACATCATTATCAAGTCCATGCACACTAAGTGTGTGCAAGTCTATCTGTGGCCACAGGATAGAATACAAATATCTAACATTGCTGTGGCCATATCAAAATTCCCTAGTTCTTCCAAGGCTTCCTAAAAGGTGGTTTTAAAAGCATGAGGGTTGGATGACAAGAGAGTTGCTCTCTGACGTTTGCAACAAGATTCTTCCTAGAAGTTTTTTATTACAAAAAAAAAAAGGACCCATTCCTACAATAAATATTCTGCTGAGCAAATCCTGTCCACAGTGAGCACGCCAACAGAGGAGAGCTCTGGGTAATCCTCACGTCCTGGCAGAGTGTGGGCTGTCAAGAAGAGCTCAGCACCAGAAATGGTGCCATCAGGGCGTGCATTTCAGCACATGCATTCCCAGCTTGGATTTTTGGATGCAGAAGGACCTTCCTCATGGACCCACTGGGTTGTGTGGACTGTTTGCAGGAACATGAGAAACAACACCCGGGGGGAATCAAAGAGCACTGAATGCGCAGGAGAGGAGGAAATCAGCGAGTGAGGTCACCCAGCACAGGCTGCTTGCAGCGCCGTGAGTTCTTTCTGAAGAGCCCAAGGCACTAATTTTAAATGCTCTCTTGTGAACAAACTTCTGGGATTTGGGTGCTGTCAGCACCCAATTAAGTATCATAAAGTGCTGACATTTCCTCAGCTAACACTACGCCTCATGGGACAGCCAGCCAATTCCTCCCCTGATGTGTTGTGTAAAAACTACAGATTTATGTCTGTGTCAGAATAAACAGTTTCTGCTTAAGTACATCTCACCAAGTTTATGCTTAACTGCTATATATATTTAATGTCTACATAGAATCCAAGCATTGTAGAACAAGGGTATAGGCCCCACCATATCATCAGGGCCATGTCCCAGAACAGGATGCTGTCCCACAAGAGGACCATCTACTTCACCCACTTCATGATTGCCTAACAGTTCTGATTCAGATCTTTGTGATTTTTATCACTTGAACATCCTCAGAAACTCTACATGTGCATTTTTTGCTCTTCCACCATTGTATATTTTCCCATCTAACACCATCTGTATCAGTGGAGTGAAATACTGCAGCTAAGAAAATGAAAGGCCTTCCTTTTCTTACGATCTTTATCGTAGGTGTCTTACAGGCAAAAGATTTTGCAAAGGAATTTGTATGGCAGGCCGTAGGAGTGGCATTTAGATGATGTCCACCAGCACTTGGCTTGAGATGATAAGTGCATGCTGGGTTATGCGTGTGTTCCCAACTCTGTGGTCCCTGCACCAGCCTGCCCCCATCAGATTAGTTGCAAGAAACCTCGTTCTCTCTGTAAGGTGGAGAATTTCACTTCGTTTTTGAATGAGGAAGACACTTCTTGCACACCAGAAGATGTTCTGTTGTCTTCTCCATGGAGATGAAGGCTGTTTACCACGTGTCTGGGATGAGTCTTTCTCTGAGGTCTTCTGCAGCTACTGATGAGCCAGAAAAGATGGGGCGCATCAAGAAAACATCTCAGAAAAGGAAATGGAGGAGAAAGACACATACAGATTCTTAGTGCTGAGCTCTAGACACACCTCCACCCCCTCCACCCACCCCATGGAGACACTGTTTGGAACTTCCATTTAATGATAGCGTATTTCTGATAAGGGGTTGGTGCTCCATGCTTTACACATGCAGTCACAGGCACATCATGATGATCCACAAGCTGTGCTGTCTTGAAACCCAAAGGCTGATGATCCTCCTTCCAGCTAGGCAGTCCTACTCCCCCAGCATAAGGCATATGAACATCAAAGTTTTTTACCGGAAAGCTGGGTTTTTCCTTCATCTTCAACCCACAGGTTGTTTGAATCAGGTCATTCCATCTGCTCTGGGATTTAAGTAGTATGCTGGGACGTATCTGCAGTAGGTAAAATCCTCCCTGAGGCTGAAGCATTTGTTTGAAATCCAAAAAGAACTCTGCAACAAAGAGATCATTTAAGGCAGAGAAGAAGCAAACTGATCAAGCAACTTGCCATGAGATAAACTCCACAATATCAAGCAGTGTATAGAAACAAGGGTAAATAAAACCTCAAGCATATGATTCAACATCTCAGAGAGAACATCCCATATTCACCAGAGACACTTTGTAAGCACATTTACAAATATTCAAGAATAGTAATTAACAGTGTTTTGAGGTAGCTTAGGGGGTTTCACAGCACATCCATATTTGAGGCCAGAGGTATGAGTTCCCCCAAATGGAGAAGTTGCCTTCCTCACCCTGCTTCCTCTGTGTTTTCTTTGTAAGTGCATTGTGAAGGTGATGTTGGATCATTTCTCCATAACTTGCTGTTTCTGCGAATTGTGTGATACCATGGTCTGGACCCAGCAGCACACAGAGTCTGTTGTGTCTGTTGTGCAAGAAGGTGTGATGTATCATGAAAGGAATTACACCTGTCTGCACACAGCTATTGCTGATAAACCCATGGCCACACAACCCACGTGGGGCTGGTGTCCCTCCAACAGGCAGCATCTGGACATGGACGTCCATGCCCAGGGCCAGCTGCTAGCAGATAGCCCTTAGGTCTTACTGGGAGGCTTCTACACGGCTGTGTGATACGCCGCCCATTCTCACCCTGTGGGAGAGCACTCTGACATTTCTAACTGTTCCCTTTCTTTTCCCACAGCTGACAAAGAGGCTGATGAGTACTACATGAGGAGGAGACACCTGCCTGACCTGGCAGCCCGGGGCACGCTCCCCATCAACGTCATCAAAATGTCTCAACAGACCAACCAGAGGGACAGGCCCCGCCGCCCCATCAGGGCCATGTCCCAGGACAGGGTGCTGTCTCCTGAGAGGATCATGCCTGAGGAGTTCAGCATGTCCTATGAACGGATCCTCTCAGATGAACAGCTTCTGTCCGCGGAGCGTCTCCACTCACAGGACCCTCTGCTCTCCCCGGAGCGGTCGGGATACCCCGAGCAGTCCATGTCACGGGCACTGTCACACACAGACGTCTTTGTTTCAACACCTGTCTTGGATCGCTACAGGATGACAAAAATGCACTCCCATCCTAGTGCCTCAAATAACTTGTACAATACCTTAGGGATGAACCCAACATCCGCCAAGCGCCAAGCGTTCGCCTCCCGACGGCACAACACGGTAGAACAACTGCATTATATTCCAGGACACCACCACCACTACCGCACAGCGAGCAAAACAGAGGTGACTGTTTGATATGACCTCGAGCATTGTAGATATTCATTAAGGACTGGGGTGGCCACGGCACCCCGTACTGCAGTGGCCTTATAGGCCAAGATAACCTCTAATAACTCAGTGTCTGAAAAGATTTCTCTGACAGTCCCATCCCATTGTTTTTAAAGCCGCCTCTACATTGATTACATAAGAAGAACCCAACCAAACTGAAAACAGTGAGGGATAATGGAGGAAACTTCCTGACGTGCATCAGTTTCTGTCAAAGAAAGACATAGTAAGTAGATGGCTCCTTCCAAGGGCTCACCTACATTATCTGATTATTTTCATCAATTTTAGACTTTTCAGTTGCTACAAGCAGAACCAGTCTCATGCAGCCCGTGACAGGGAGGAGGAAATGCAGTGCTCCATCCTGGCAGGAAGGGGCCCTGTTCTCATCCCTCATGCCAGTCCTCACGGTTGACCTTTGAGTAGCAAGTAGGTCAGCTTCTGGCTGGGGATCACCTCCAGACCACTCAGTACCAGCCAGCACCCATCCATCTGTTCTTCCTCACCCTTGGAACAAATTCAAGGGCAGGCTTTCCTAAGGGACTGGCAGATCTAGGGACAAGAATAGCCTGGCTGAGAAATAAAGATTTAGTTTATATTAAATATACTCATAAGATAAAAATATACTAGTGCCTACAAATCGCCTGCTCTCTCAGTGTAGGAAGTAGTGGGGTTGATGTGTTCAATAAGCACAAATATACTGAAATGCTTGTTAGACCCCTTCTCCACTCATTCTAGTATCTTACTGTCTCCAACATGTAAATAGGAAGGAGGAACAGCTTATCTCTCCTCCAGCTTCTTGCCACTGCTGAGGTTCTAGTGCCAGAATTTGTTCAGCTTCACTCTGCTGACCTGTGCTGGGGGAAGTGCTGACTCCACCAACACCCCTGCCAGGAAAGTCTACCGTGGGTTTCATCTGAATTTCTCCCCGTGAGTTTCTTTTCCTGATAGCATTTTCCACCACTCCAATTCGGATTTCCCAACATGTTTCTTTCTTTCAGTTGCGACCTAGAACTCTGTATGCAGCAAATCTCTTTCCAGACTTAGCAGAAGCTCAAAGCTGAGAGTGTTCTGTCTACAGAAAAGCAAGCTGGTAATTTTCCATGGTTGTCTTACCATATAATGGCCCAAAAAGAAACCTTCCAAATTCCAATTCCACCGAGTCCCAGTTCTAACCATGCAGACAGTTCCATTTCATGCATATAAATTATATATCCGGCATAATTATAATAAACGGGCATGTTGTATATCTGATATAATGGTAATTAGATAATGTATATTTGTAAAATCTTTTAAGGATAGACTCGTGGGCCCAGAATTTGTGAGGGTTTTATCTCTGGCTTTCTACACAGATTAGGATCTGCTCTGGATTTCTTTGTTGTTCCTTTTTGTTATTATTGTTTTCCTTTTATTTGTTCTCCTTTCAAATCCTGCAGAACCAACTCACACTAGAACTTTCTTTGGCCAGGAAAGGGTCTGTGGTTCTGAAGGCCACACAGCCCCAGTGCTGTAACTGCAGTGGTGCTGGGCACTATAGTCCAGCAATTCCTGTCCATGGTGTGAACACAAAGCCCCAGCACATGCACGCACCCATGCACCAATCCAAAAGACAGGCATGACCCCTCCTTGGGGTAAAAAGATGACTGACTTTAGATTGTAAACAAGTTTCCACATGGCGCATCTCTCACATCCTCACCCTGAGTCATTTTCTACTTTCTCCTCAGCAAACTCTGTCTAAATTAGCTCTGTTCTCCTCTTCCCCACAAATACCTCCTGCCTCTTGGCCTTAGTGATGTTCCCAGCTCAATACTGCATACACTGATTGTAGGTTGTGAGCTTGAGTTCATGCAGGGGCTCATGATGCAGCACCGGGTTCTTCTGGTGCAGGACAGGCAGGAGGAGCATGCTGTCTATTCCAGGTGATTTCAGAAATAGGCTTCAATGGGGTGGCCGTGCTGGCTTTCACTGTGATAGTTTTCAAAAGAGAACCAAGGCCTTCACTTTCCCAGACCATGCTGGGTTTGCTGCTCCTGGTTCATGGGCTTTCTTCCTCAGCTGATGGAGACTGCGTTTAGAATAGACTCCATCTGAGAGAAGTACTGGGGCTTTGTTTGACGGAAACTGAGCTGAAAAGGAACAAATAAGAGCCTATGTGATCTAAGTGGCCGTTACCACGCAGCCTTGGGCAAAGCCGTTCTGGGCAAAAAACAGAATTGTGCATGGATCAGGGTGGAAGTTCAGTGGTGTGGGAGGGACAAGTGAGAAAAGGCCTCATCTTCTGACCCTTTTCTTTGATGGACACTCCTCTTCCCGACTACCTCCAAGCTCCTCAGTTCAGTCACGGGATATTTCTTCACGGAGCGCACATCTCTGTGCAAACATCGCCCTGCTGACTTAATTCCTTGCAGCCAGAAGTTTGTGACTGATTTGGAGAGAAGAGGAATGTACACGACTGGCAGGGAGGCAGTCCATGCTAATTTTCTGGGGCTCTTCCATTCATTTTTATCCCAGACAAAGCCAGGATCTTCCCCTCTGCAAGCAGAGAGATGAATTCTGTGGGTGAGGAGAGCCCACCCTAAAGTCTGCAGGAGCTGAGGTGGCAGAGCTGGAGGAGCAGAGGCGACCGTGTGAGGCTGTGGGTAGGTCAGCACTCTTTCCATTTCCTTAGCTGTTTGTCCCAAGCTCTCATCTTTGTCTAAGTGTTCAGTTCATCAACTAAGAAGCTGCTGGACCAGATGCAAACATGGAAGTTCTCGATCCAAGTAGCCCATGCAGATGCTGTGCCCTGGGCCTTTTGACCTCAGAGCCGTCTCTTATTCTGACTGACCAACATCACAGGCCTTCTGCTAACTTGTCAATAATCCTCCAAAGAAATCTTGTCCCCATCTCCTCGCCTCTTCCACCCACACAACAGTTTCAAGCACGTGTCCCATTAGAACCATTGAACAGCCTTTCTAGGCCAAATTTCTCCTGGGACTCTGCCACTACCACAGAAAATTTTCAGCAAATTTCTTTCAAAGGCACCAAGGCCAAATGGCTGCAACTTCTTCTGGGCACTGTGTGTTCCCCTGGCTTGCGCTGTGTGTTGGAATGGGTTGATGGCTAGAGTAGTGGCATTTCAGCATGTACAGGTGTTCTTACATGATTTTATTCCTTTTTCTGAGTGTGTCACCAAAATGGCACTTGGTCCAAGACTGGGAGTCGTGGTACACGGTCTTGTCCCCAGCATTTCTGTTTTCTGTGGTCAATAACAGCAGCACTTTCCTATTCCACAGAGGCATTGTGAGTGTTCATACCATAACGTCTTTGAAGTGCTTTGAGTCTCTCTCACAACAGGCACTGTAGAAGAGAGAAACATTTTTATTACTGTTGTTTGTCGCCATTCTTCTGCCACATCGTGTCTGATGTGTTGCAGTCGAGTCCATCCAGAATGAGAGTGCTGGGGTGGGGGATGCAGCCCCCAGACTTCACACTGCTTTCCTTCTGGTCGTGGTCCCGCTAGCAGGCAGCAGCTCTGAGGAACACTGTTACCTGCACTGTGATTTTTCTGCTTTCTCCTCTTGTCTGAGTCCCCATTTCATTCTGCACTCAGGACAAAAGCAGGAAGCAGTCACATTCCTCTGTACAGTAAAATATGATCTGCCTTGATTAATCTAGTGTACTCTGAAGAATTGATCTGTCTTTTTCTCCAACTCGCAGGTGGAAACACATCTGTGGAGCATCCAGTTCCAAGTGTGCATGTGCAGGGACTGGGGGAGAGTGATGTAGAAAGGTTTATATTCTTTCCTACAAACTGATAATTATTTGCATTCCCCAAGCAGCAACACTTAATAGTGAGCTGTGCTGGGTTTTATATAATTACATACAAATATCTCATTGATACAGATACGTGTATGTTTATGAGTATACACATAAACACACATGTATATGTGTATGCTGTAAAACGCAGTCGTAAAGTGCTAATTGGCCCTGTATCAATCTAAGCTTCCAAAATATATTGACCCACTCTTTGAAATGTGGAAAACTGTTTTTAATGAACCGTGCAGATCACCGTATGGAACAGAAATTTTGTCAAAGAAGACTTCTAATGACAGTGAATTGCGTTTTAAGGAAAAACAAAATATTTTTCAGTGTCTTAATGTTCCTTTTATAAATGGTATTCTCTTTCTCTTTCTTGGGGATGGGGTGGGTGGGAGGAAAAGTTATGCGGAATTAAGCCCTCCTTTCCTGGCCTAGATTTACGTTCTGCTAACCTAGCTGGCTGCAATGCTAATCCCATAAATCTGGGCTTCGAGCATGCATATTTCTGTGCTTTTGTCTATCAGAAGCTTTCTCACCAGGAGTCTGCGAGAGCCTGGCGTCATTTTTCTAAGAGAGGTGTAGGTCCTAATAGCTGGGAAGATTTCTTCATCTTCTTCCTCCACATCAAACAAAATCACCATGAAACAGGGTGACTTTAATTGTGTTTGAAGTAAGCTTTCTGGTTTGTTAACAGTTTGCCATCTGCAGTTCACCTGATGGAGAAGTAGCTTAGTTTTGCTTCGAACTCAGCTGAAATATATTTAACCCACACAGATTTCACATTCAAGTATATTTCAGTCAAGTAAGAACTTTGTAGGGGGAATATGTGAGAAGGAGGCTGAAATATTTTTCCTACAAAGTGCTGCTAGCAATAAGCCAGTGCTGGGGCTGCTTCTTAGGGAACGGCCGCTCGTGTTTTGTGTGCCTGTGAGCGGATGGTGGAAGGTGCTGCTCACGGCCTCTCCTGACCGGCTGAAGGCTGCCAAAGAGATGCCCTCAACGAGCCCAGATCCCACGTGGGGACACCAACCTACACTTCACCTTTCGGGAACGAGGGGAGAGTCAGGCCAACGACACGAGCACGGAATACATCTGGAAATGAAATCTCAGCAGCGAGCAAGGCAACATCTCACGTCTCCACCATGACCTGTGATGTCCAGGAGGTCTCGGCCGGA